ATTGTAAGGACATAAACACAGTAGTACCTGATGTTCATTTGTTGCGCAAAGATGACGATTTTTCCACAAACTTACATACCGGGTTCCTATTGCTGCTCACCCGATCCTCCACAGACCTGATTCTGCTGCTCAGTTCATCCACTTTATCCTTTAATCTATCGTTACCCTAGAATTACTGCAATAAAAGATGCTCCATACCTTTTTTCTGATTTACTCTACCTTTTTGAGGAGCGCAATATCGTCTTCCGTGATGAGGGAGTTTGAAGGGTTTGTTGACCTCTTGCTTTCATCTGGAACTGATTTCGAAACTAATTTTTAGGGCTATTTGAAGAAAAGCATTTACTTACTTGTTCCATTTTTGGTTGTCGATGTACTGCACAGGGTTAAAAAGATGCTAAGAATGACAGTGTAATAAAGTTTTAGACGAGGCATAATTCCGAAATTTGTGCAGAACCTGGTTGTAGGGGACGTCTATTCCTCGCCTTTTAGCCCTTTACGACATTTTATATGTTCCGAAATGCGGATCTGCCAACAGAACTACTCATGGAGCCGACCGATTGTGGTCCTTCCATTTGTCACCGGCTTTAATTGTGCTCCATTAAATGTCGTCGGAATGAATCATCTCCATCTGACAGGATGTGGTGCGCTCAGAACCACGGTAGTTGTATAGTCTTTTCTCCGAAAATGTCAAATTCATCAGCGTATCTTCACAACGTAACTTTGTGGGTTTCTTCGCCATGTCTCACACAATATCTTCTTGACAGAGTTCTTTCTTACGCCCAAAAGGTGCCTCAGAAAGATTCAACCGCTAGCTGGGCTACAGTAGCAAGAATTTTGCTGAAGCTGAGTGCTACTAAGGAATCCGATCTGAATCTAGCGTTAGAACATCATCTGGGAAATATTGTGGTTCAACTTATCTCAAACAAACATGACTAGTGAGATCTGCAGTTGATTACTGATGCAACAACCTACCGTTTTGAAGTTTTTAAACAGTTTTTTTGCGGGAATTCTTGTAGCCTCTTTTCCCTTTCGTTTTGCCAAAAAATAATGATTTTATCAGCATTAGGTTGCGAGCAATTCTATTAAAATCCAATTCTTTTCGTTTTTCTATTCTTGAGAACACTGTTTCATCTATAGCGGTCCCGAAGCGGATGATATGGAGTTGGAATTCGAGGCTGACCTTGAAGCCAGTAAATCTAACACTATGGGTAACCGTAAAACAATGGTAGAAGGTCACGTAAGTTATAGCACTTCATGTCGCTTTCGATAGCGTACATCGTTGTTTTTGTGCCAGACAATGAAAAAGTGGTTGTGGCGATTCAGAGGATGTGTTCTGTGACGATGTTGAATCATCATTGAACCGGTTAGAGTCAAACATGGCGTTGCGGTAGAGCACCCACTACTTTTGAGCGATACAATAAAAATACTTACTTTTTGCAAATGAGTAAGTACCCCGCTCAAATTGGTCATCCGTATTCCTTTACCCCATCTTCGCGACTTATGCTTGATCGAAAGATATCCAACGAACAACGTACTACTTTCAGTATTCTAATCTTCTTTTGATTTCAGGTTGTGAAATACGGAATGTCTCCAAAGATTGGCCCACTTTCTTTCGAAACACCGGGTCCAGGTGATATGGCGTTTGACAAACCGTATTCCGAAGCAACAGCACAAATGATCGATCAAGAAGTTCGAGATATGGTCAACGCTGCTTTAACGAGGACGCGGGAACTTCTTCTTGCGAAAAGAGAAGACATAGAAAAGGTACGTTTTTTGTGCTGCGCTTTGATGGTTCTTTCGTGAAAATGCTAGGAACTACGGAACTGCTTTACACTCGTATTCATGGTTTTTACTTAGGTTGCTCAGCGACTTTTGGAAAAAGAGATTTTATCACGTGAGGACATGGTAGAGTTATTAGGTAAACGGCCGTTCGCCGAGAAACAAACTTATGAGGAAATGGTTTCCGGCACAGGAGGTCAGTCGGAAATTTTCAAATGGCATCAGTACATAATCTATTAATTAGTCCTAACGTCTCTTTTTGTAGGATTGGATGAAGACACAGAATTACCGAAAGGTTTGAAAGATTGGAACAAAGAGAAAGCACCGGCAGGGGCTGCTGAATGACTGTTACTCGTATCTCATTCAATTTTGTTATTGTGATCCATCTTGTACATGCTAGGTATTCTACTTCGTTGAAACCTTCGACGGCCATGAGTTCTCTTCAGTCATTCATTGCTAGTTGTTATTTAGATGTTTGTTATGTAGTGCATTTTGTAAATGTTTCATATATGTCTTTTTCAATAAATGTACAAAGGATTGTTCATTTGACGACTAGATGCTTGTAATTTACAATATACATGCTTGTAGTGTCTATTTAATTTCAATGAATGGAGAATAGGAGGGTCCTCCATAATGCTTAATTTAGATGGGTGGCCGCGGCCGCGGAAGGGGAGCTGGGCCGGGTACAACGGTTCGAGCAGTTGCCCATGCTTTGGGTATAGCCAGGCAGGATATGGCGGCCTACACTGCTCAACGGACAATAGAGGATCCTCCTGATTATCCCGTAGGTTGTCAATGTTGTTCACACTCTAAGATGTTGTTTGTGGAACCACCTGCAAAAAAGGATTCCAGACTTAGAACTGTGTGAGCTAATGTTTCAATGACCATCTTTCGCTCAATTGAAGCGGATAAGGAAAATCAATCAACTTTTTGGATTTAGCCCTTTACGCACGACGTCATCCATTTGACTTTAGTTAGCAATGCTGAGGTCCTTGCATACACACTTTGTTCATAAACACTATTTTGATGACCTTTCTGGACAGGTGGTGGAATGTCAGAGCTTTGATTCTGAGCAGTACCTCTTAGCAGTCAAAGGTTTTCTCAATTGTTTGTGCTAACCATTTGGGTTTGTAAGTCGAAGTGCCACCGTACTCTTTCGTCGCAGACCTCACTATACCATGGAGAATATGTGATCCTTCACCGTTTGTATCCAATTTTCGTACCTTTCGATTGAGTGACTATATATGGGAGTTAGTCCCTGTTATTCAGCCGGCAGTAATTCCGAAGTTTCCATACTCGTTTGTTTAAGGCGGTAAGGTACAGATCCAAAGCTTTTTTGGTGTAATCAGAATTTTAGCCCTTTCACAGACTGGTAGAAAATCATGTGCTACTTTCAGACTGTTCAACGAGCTCTCATACCCCTGGAACTGACCAACGAATTACAATACATTTCAGAATTGAAGCTTGAATTAATTAACAGGTAATTACGCTGCTTAGTTAAATTTTGGTATGGCTGAAATAACCGCTTTTATCTATTCTAGGTTTCAAGAATCTCCATTCTTTTTGGATAATGTTCAAGTAAGGGATATTAGACGGTATACTGATAAGTACAATGAAATCCATCGGGAAAAACTTGAGCCAGGTCAGTTACTAAGAATATCGAGTTGAGTTTACTGTTACTTTAGAAGTGACAAGCGTCTAACCACCTAGTTGATTCATCTTCAGGTTTGAGTTGTAGCTTAGGACTCTAATCCATAGTGCAAGTTGCCGTTCCCTCACTTTACCGAGCAGGAGAATAGTGCGCTCCTTCAAAAGAGGTGTTCTAAA